TTAAAAACTGAGAACAAACTGAGGGTTGATGGGGGGTGGGAGGGAGGGGAGGGTGGGTGATGGGTATTGAGGAGGGCATCTTTTGGGATGAGCACTCGGTGTTGTATGGAAACCAATTTGACAATAAATTTCATATTAAAAAAAAAGATTATACAAATATTAAAAAAAAAAACGTTTTTTGAGGCCGAAGTAGATGTTATTGGATATTAATTTTTTTCCTTTCTCCCTTCAGTAGGAAACACTTTCAGGTGAGTGTTCCTAGCATTGAGTCAAAAAGCCATTTCTGTGATCTGTCTTCACTGCAGTTTTTGTTTTCTCTCGTAAGAGCAATAATAGCAGCCACGGTTGAGGACCCGCCATGTGCCGGACACTGGGTGAGGGGCTTCATTAGGCGTGATTATAAACTCTGTCGTAAACTCTTCTGGATGGTGGTGGCATCGCCATCGTCCAGATAAGGAGATGGACCCTCGGTGAAGTAATGTCTGCAAGCTCATCCAGGAAACGGAGGGCTGCGCCTGCATTCAGATCCCGGTCTGACCGATTCCAAAGTCTGTGCTCGTTTTACAAGGCCCGGTCTCAGGGTGGGGCACATTGCTGGGCTGTTACTGAAGCGTAAAGATGGTGTGTATGCATGAAGCCCGGCCGTTTGTGCATTTATCTCATGTCATTTTCTAAAAAGAGCTAAAAGGAAGCCTAAGTCCTGGTCTTACAGCACGTTTTGGGAGACTGGTCTGAGCTTGCCCAGAAGCCCCTCCCAAAAGGAAACCTCATTCGGGACAAAGCAACTAAATGGAACTTGGGTATTTCATTTCCTAAGGAGATTCTGGGTGGGAGCAAAGAACTCTTCTCTTTGTTCCTCTCAACCGGTGGTATTACTGTTCTGGGGTGATCTTTCCTGGGGAAACGTCACCTTTACTGCCCTATATTTGAGGGCCGTGAAAGACTCACTTTCATTCCCTGGGCTTATTTTCTCATAGGAGGAGACAGCAAGGCATAGCGGCAAACGCTTTGGAATTAGTGGGCCTGGGTTCAAATTGCAAGTCTGCCGTTCTCAAGCCCTGTGCTCATGGAAAATCCTTGACCTTCTCTGAGCCTCTGTCTCCTCATCTGTTTCCCAGAGGGAGACTGAAAAGATCGGATGACAATGTAATGCTCCTAGCACTGTGACTGGCCCATGGCACGAATGAGAAACGTACAGTCCAGCCGGGTAGGCAGAGTCAGTAACGAATCAGACAATAAGACAATAATTAAATGCCAAACCGCTGGGCATTCCCAAGTGCAGTCGTGGTTCAGGGCTTCCAGGGAGGAAGAGGACTTTACCTGGGCCTTGAATAACGAGTAGGAGGAGAAATTTCAGGAAGTAGAGCAGAAATAAAGGGCATTTCAGGAAAGGAACGTAGTAGCATTCGTGTATGTGCTGTGAGAGGTACTCGGATGGTAGGTTCCTGGGACAAAGAGTCACCTACCCAAGGAGCAGGGGGAGATAATAAAACCCACCCAGGAATATGTGATTGTCTGTAGGAATCTATGGCAGCATCGCTTTGAGAGATTCGTGTGTGGAACGCACAAAGATTTTTCCACATTACAAAAGAGGTTGCGATAAATCTAGTGTTTTGTATTCGGTAAGGGCTGATATTGGAAAAAGGTATCTTCTTGATTATTTCTCCCCCTTTGGAAATTAGGGGGCAAGACATGGGTGATGTCATGGTTTTGGTGGATTCAGAAGAAGAGGAAGCAGAGGAGGAAGATGTGGCCGAAGAGGAGGAAGAAGAGGAGGAGGAAGCAGATGAGAGGGAGGAGTCGCCAAAAGAAATACATAAGCATGGCCACATCCATAGAGTGACCGCACTGGTGAATGGGAATGTAGACTGGATGGGGAATGGACTCCAGGCTCTGCAAGGTAAGCTCTTTTTCCTTAAAACCACCCTGCTAGGTTGCAGTGAGATTCCCAGTAAGAATCTTTGAGTGTGGGTTTTTCCAAGGGTGGGGAAGACAGTTAAAGTTTAATCTAGCATCTGCTATCAACTCCTGACACCACAATTAAACTGCCAAACATTTATCAAAGACCTACTCTGGGGAAGGTGCGATATCGGCCCTGTTTAGAGGAATACAAAGCACCGATGATAACTGTAAGCTGGGAGCTTTGCAAGACCAGTTAGGGTGCACAGAGTGAAAGCTGGGGAAGATTTAAAATGGAAGCAAGATTTTTTTTTTTTTTTTAACATTGATTTATTCTGAGAGAGAGAAAGAGAGCATGCACAATTGGGGGAAAGGCAGAGAGAGAGGGAGAGAGAATCCCAAGCAGGCTCTGAGCTGTCAGCACAGAGTCCAACATGGGGCTCGATCTTACGAACTGTGAGATCATGACCTGAGCCCCAATCGAGAGTCAGTTGCTTAACTGACTGAGCCACCCCAGGCACCCAAAAATGGAAGCAAGATTTAACCATCATTTTGAGAGAGTAGCAGAGGAGGAATTGGGTTAATTTTGCCAGATGGATGATAGGTTTAAAAATAACAGGACCTCAGAGAGAGTCGAGTGCCTTGAGCGGCACATTAGTTAGGAAGAGCTTAATGGCACAAGTAGGATATGAGGCAAGTCTTTCAGGGCAGTGTTTGAATAAGCAGAAAGGAGAGAGTATTCCGGGTGAAGAGAACAAGTTTATGCAGGTTAGACAGCATACCCAAGTTTATGCAGGGTAGACAGTGAAACGAACGGGAGAGGGCGCCTGGGTGGCTCAGTTGGTTGAGCGTCTCACTCTTGATGTTGACTCAGGTCATGATCTCACGGTTCGTGAGATCAAGCCCCACATCAAGAGAGATTCTCTCTCTCCTCTCTCTCTGCCCCTCCTCAGGATTCTTTCTCTCCTCTCTCTCTGCCCCTCCTCTCTTCTCTAAATACATAAATAAAAGCATTTAAAAAAACAAAAGAACAGGAGAAAAAGGGGAACATATACCCTGCCCCACCTGCTCCCCCATGAAATCCAGTTCTGAGGCTCTCCAGTAAAGGACTAGAAATTGCAATGACTGAAACCTGACGGTGGAAATGGAGTCCCCTCTTGTCGACCTCACTCAGACTCAGATTGGCTTTTCTCTCCTGTACAGATGACAGCAGCGAGGAGCAGAGTGACATCGTTCAAGAAGATAGGCCAGTTTGAAGAAGAGAACTGTCCTTCGTTATCCTGTCTTGAAAGCTTTGACTTGACTCACACCCCTGCCTGAGGACTTAAAATGGTTTGGGACTCTCAGCAAAAAAGAAAAACACACACACGTATATTTCCTGCCCCCCTTCCTTTTTTTCCCTAAATCGGTTGACTTGCTGTAAGTTTTCTCATTGATGTTAAAAAGTATCAGGAACGGGCAGTATGGGGGGGAAAGGTGCGTTCGGCATCTGAGGTGCCCCTTTTCACTGTGACTTCTGGCTTTATCCAGCTTGACTGATGCTGATCTGGGGGGAGGCACTTGAGCTCTGTGCTCAGGGCTCTCAGTGCACCATGAAAGGTCAGTGATCAGCTTGCCCCAACACACAAGGGAATAATGTGGGGTCATGTCCCAGGTAAGCTGGAGATCCAGGTGGACGTCACCTCCCTGGAAAAGGTGAGGAGATGTCAGTTGCCGATGCTAGTCAGAGGGAGGCAGTTTGGCTCAGGTTTTGGAGGCTTGAATCTGGGCCCTGTTTCTTGTTTCATGGGCTCAGGCACGTTGCTTTACCTCTCCCCGGGACCTCAGTTTTCCTCATCTACCAAATAGGTGGAATCATACCGGCCGTACAGGGTACGGTGGGTCCTAAATGAGGTACTTGTGGGTGTGAAAGTGCCCAGGAGGTGTTCAGTAGATGTTGGTTATCTTCTCTTTTGCCCTCCCTGGTGGAAGAAACAAGGTCAACTGTAAATTACAAGCTGCCACCTTGGCCTCCTGTTCTTTGTTGAATGGTTTCAGATGAGAGCTCTCCTGATGGTATTTGCTTCCCCGGAGGTATAGTTCTTTTCAAAAGAGGTAGGGGCCCATAAGAGGAAGTGCCTTTCACTAGAACCTCTCATTTTGCAGAGCTTCATATTTATACAAAAGCCTCTTAGGTGACACCCTATTGGTTTTCAGAATTTCCCATTCTTCCTTTCTCCTGTGGCTTTGAAAGAAGGCAGGAGAAATGTTTTGCAGGGGAGTATCTGGTGAGAAGTACTCCTTGGGCACACAAGTTCATCCGGCCTCAGTTTCTAGATCTTGGAAATGGGAATGAGAAAACTTGTTTCCTTCCCACTTCCTAAGGAAATAGATTATGAGGCTACGTTGATCAATAATGCGAAGTTTGGACTGAAAATAACATATGATGAGTTTAAGCTGCTGTTTCCAGATCCCTGGACAGTTCAGAGATTTTTGTTTCTCTGATTTCATCCAAATCTCTTAAACATCAGGGACCTACTAAGGGTGCAAAAGATGTGTGCTAAACCTGAAAATCTGATGACTTGAGTTTGCACTCTTTACTGTTCATATCCTGCCTAATGGGCAAGACATGGGGCTTCATGGAGAACTTCCTTTCTCCAGCAATAGGGACTGGGACTCCTGTGAGACGAGAAGCTGGTTATCTGCAGGATTACCCTGGAGGTGTGGTTGGGACAGGTCTACTTTCTTGGATGAAAAGACTGAACTGAGAAAATCACTAGAAGTGAGCCCTGTTCCCAGCTCAGAGCTCTGGCAATCACAGGAGCTGGCTGCAATTTCTACCCCTCAGGAATAGCTGCGGCCTGCTAACAGTTCTTGTGTGCTGGGTCTTTTGCTGCATTGTATTTCAGTACTTAACCACTCTGGCCAGCCTGAGTTAGCATTGTTTCAGAACAGGAGACTTGAGTTGAGTTGCCGCTAAAGTCACTGAACACTGAGCTTGTCTCCCTTTAGAATCTTCCGTCATTAAATTCCTGAGGAGCCCACTCTGCAGAGGCAACCATGTTTAAAAAGAGAATAAGAAAAGAAACAGGAAAAAAAAAATCCTTAGGTAGGAACACAGAGAATGATTTGTAAGATCACTGAGATGCTTTCCAGAACTTCCCTCTTCTCTTGCACACGCACTTGATCGAAAATCTTCGGGGAGGGGTTGTTCCACTATCAATAGGGGGCTTCAAACACTATAAAGCCTAGATTAGCTGACCCATGACTTCTGTCACTTATATCTGAGCCCTATGTGCACATTAATATAGCTGGGTCAATTAAGAGCGCAGGTACTGGGGTTCTTCAAGCTTTAAGGATTTTTACAGAATTAGGGCTTGCTTTTATTTTAAGTCGAACCCCACCCCCAAAATTACAAGCATGTTAACAGTGGGTTACAAAATCTGTGTGGCAAAGTCCAAGTTGTTACGTTGCGCTGTTACACAATCTTAACTGAATGTATTGTGAACTCCAAGATCTCCTTATCAGAAGCAGGAAGATAAATACTGAAGGGCTATCACAACTGACATTTCAGCAGGGGACACTGGGGAAGGGCTCTGGCAATCCTGTGGCTTTGATATTAGTCCTAATTCTCACAAGTACACACAGGCCCTATTACTGCAGAAACCCCGTGATGGAAAACTCCAGAACCCATGCACCAACACCTGGAAAATCATTCCTGCCGGGTAAAGTCTATCATGATGCAGTAAGTGCCATGGGACTGACCAGGAACTGCTGCAAAGAAAAATTAGCAGATCCCTCTGCGTTATTTACATTTTAATATTTGGTATGTGTGTGTGTGGGGGGGGGAATGGGTAAGAGAAATTTATTCTGAGGTTATAATGTGGATTTTTTAAAAAAGATTATGGAATAAAGTTATTTTTAAATAAATATTTTAATGGTCTTGATTTAGACCTGATTAATAAAACTGAGAGATTTGGAGAAATGGGTTTAACCTCCCCCAGTTTTTTTGTTTTATTTATTTATTTTTTTATTAGCTTTCCCATATTGGTAACAATAGCGGTCTCTTTGCCATTTTATTCCTTTCCTTATAGGTATTCTCTTATGCTTACTGAGACACCATCACCTTTCCCACCCTCCCTGAGAAACTTGTTCTTCCATTATTTTTTTTTTT